TTCCCCAAGTTTTAGCCCAAAACAATAGCATCAGGAAAATCCTTCCTCTTCCCTAAAGTCACATGGATTGTAGCAACTGGATTGTAGCAGTAGTTTTCTGTTTGACAATAGGGCAGGTAGCCCTTGATTGAAATCTGACCTCAGAATTTGAAATGCAGAGGAAAGTTATGATGTCTTCTCCAATTTTTAATGACGAGATGAGCAGGAACTGGAGACTCTAGTATGTGTCCTTACTAAAATGTTAATAGTGAGTGAGGCTTAAATATTATAGGTTGCTTAGGTTGCTTCCTCACTTAATCTCTCTAGGTCTTATTGTCTCATCTGTAATAGGAAGGGGTGACATGGCCTCTAACAACTCTCGCAGCTCTAAATCCATTATCCAATGAATGCAGATGTTTTTAGAAACCTCTTATAAATTGGGCACCAAAGATGTAAAAGAGATGAAGATTGCTTTTGAGCATTTTTCAGAAGATGACTGCCAACTTGTGGGCAGTCTTTGGCTCTTTTATTAAAAATACTGTATTTAAATCCTTTTAGCAACCATTGAGATCAAAACGGTTGTCAACACAAACAAGTAGGCAGTGTTCTTGGAAAGAAGCACTGCAAGCCCACATGAAAGAAAACTATGCCCTTTACAACCATGCTCATTTTTGTACCTCTTTTTTTTTTTCCTGAGGATGTGTACTTCTAAATTTCCTATGAATTAATTTCTTTCCTGAAGCACAGAAGGAAGACAAATTAGAGTATTTGTTATCATTCAGTCTACTTAATTTTTAAAGTGGAATCAAGGATTTATTTTGTAAAAGTAAGGATTTAGAGAATAATGAACCAAGTTCTTCAAATCATTTTTCTATCAAGGAAGGATTTTTATATCAAATCAAATCTTCAAATCATTTTTTTCTATCAAGGAAAGATTTTTAAAACCAGTTCTTGATGAAAATTAAAAGAATTTTTTTTAAAGAAAAATCTACCATTTGTTAAAGACAGGCTTGAGTGAGGCCTGAATCAGCTTCAGTGTTGAGATGAAATGAGGCATCCATGAGGTAATCTGATAATTAACAAAATGAAGTTTACTTAGTCATAGCCTAGAAAGGATATTCAACAAGGCTATTCCAGCACTTAGCTGGAGTAGACATAGCCCTGTCTGGACTGAAGAGGAGGGCAGGGTAATTTCCAGAATATTGAGAAATTGGATGATTCTGAAGGGCCCAAATTTCATGTGGATGGATCTTTGTCTGTCCTTAGGTAACCAGGAAACCATGTCAAAATGTCCAGAGGCTAGCAGGAAATTCCATTAGTCAGGTGTAGATTGGGTCTTGTCCCAGGGCCAATAATTCCTGTGGATAGCTTTATCACTTTTCAGGGGAAAAAGGCTGAGGGAGGTGGGGTAAGAAGGGGAAACTCTGATCCTATCACATCATCATTTGAAGAAAATCACCATTAAAATTCCTTTTTTACACTAAAAGTACAAACGTGAATCTCTTGGATTGCAGCTCCTTGGCTGCAAGGTCCCTTCTAATGCAGTGCCTTCATGATGAGGAAAGTGAGGCCCACCAGAGAGAGTTAAAGAGCAAGTGGCAGAGGTAAAACTTTGCTTTTGTAGATGTCCTGATTCCATAGTCCATATAAATCATTATCAGTAGCAATATGAATCAATAAAAATTTATTAAGGGCCTGTTATGTGCCAGGCATTGTGCTAAGCACTGGGGAGAAAAAAAGAGACAAAAGACAGGGCCTGCCCTAAAGGAACTTACAATCTAATCAGGGAGACAACATGCAAACAAATACATACAAAGCAAGCATAAAATAGGATAAATAAGAGATAATTAACAGAGGGAAGGCCCTGAAATCAAGAGGGGTTAGGGAAGGCTTCCTGTAAATGGTGGGATTTTAGTTGGGACTTAGAGGTCAGTAATCAGAGCAGAGGAGGGAAAGCATTCCAGGCCTGGGGGACAGCCAGAGAGAATGCCTGGAGCTGAGAGACAGTGCATTGTTCATGGAACAGCCAGGAGGCCAGGGTCGCTAGATTGAGGAGTAAGTGGCAGGGAGTAAATTGTAGGGTAACTTGAAAGGTAGGAGGGGACTATGTTATGAAGGGCTTTGAAGACCAAACAGAGCATTTTATATTTGATCCTAGAAGCAATAGAGAGCCCTGGAGTTTATTCAGTAGAGGTGTGACATGATCGAACCTGTGCTTTGGGAAAATCACGTGGGCTGAATGGAAGATGGATTAGAACGGGGAGAGACCATATGTCTGTAAGTGATCTGAAGGCTTTTTGGTAATCTGAGGCCTTGCCAAATGGGAAGGGGCTGATTGCATGGATCCTTGACACAAGAAATAGGGGGTATTCATTAAGCCTGAATCATCCTTTCCAGACACTGAACTTTTACATAATGAAGTTTGTAGAAAGGGCATCTTAGTTGGCGACAGAGCCCAGAACAAAGCAGTAGCAGCAGCCAAGCGATTAATTTTGTGGAAAGGGAAAAAAGAAAGTACTTTTCCCTCAGCATTTCAGGCAGGCACTTTGACCTCTAGAAAATGAATGGTATAATGAAGCTCGTTAGTCAATTATTTGTACATTTTCTTCTGATGATTGCTTTGGTAGAAAAGTACAAATTTATTTTTCTTCTTTAGATTCTAAGCAGTTTGGTATTATAATGTAGAGAGTATTAGATTTAACCAAGGAAGTTCTGAATTCTAACCTCAGGTCATCTGCTGCTAGCTACCAGTGTAACCTACCTAGATCACTTACCCTTTGAACTCATCTGTAAAATTAGCAGATTGAACAAGGTGATCTTTAAGGTCCTGTCTACCCCTAACATTCTATGGTTCTCTTGGTATCACAAAGTAAACCATATTTTTTTATCCTTTTTTATTTTCTCTTGAACTACAGCATAGGGAAAAAAAATCACAAAACAGCAATTCCTGCACCTTATAGATACCTAATCAATGGCTATTGAATGAATGAATTAGTGACTGGACCTGTGATTTTAGCAATTTATGGAACTCCCAGATGAGGAAATTCTTTCCACCAATGCATATTAGCTACTGCTCTGCAACTTATAGTCTTAAAGAGTTGCCTAAAGCAGTGAGTGGTTGGTTAAGTGACTAGCCCAGGGTCATACAGCCTAAATATGAGTCAGAAACACACCTAAACCCAGGTCTTTCTTCCTTCAAGGCCAATTCTTCTTCCTCTCTGTCCACCATACCACACTGATTCTCAAGCTTACACACTAACAATACATCAGATATAGAATAGTCTTTATTTTTTTCCTCACAAGTATGCAAAACATAGAAAGGACTCATAGGAGCACCACTACATACAAGATAGCCTTCCTCTATCCACTAATACCCCTTCCTACAGGGGAAGTTCACCAGTCTTAGCTTGATGGATAGAAAATAATTACAAAAGTACTCTCTGTCCTTGAGGAATTGCCTTTATTTGTAGATTTGTTTCAGACATTACCACTTTAGCCATCTGTCCTGTCTTTCCCATATTAAATTGTGTTTCTGAATCCATAGATCATGTCAAATCTAGTGTACAAACCCAATAGGTCAGACACCTACTGGGAATTAAATAGATTAAAAATGAAGGAAGGAAGAGTAAACCTAGCATCTGAAGTAAAATTTACCAAAAATTTAGAATATGTGTAGGCTTTGCTGTCTTTAGGGGCCAACAGGGGAATCTGCTGAGAAATGGATGCTCTTGGGATAAAAATGCTCATGATAGTGACTTTCTGCAACTCAACCCTGGGGCACTTAGTACTTAAGGGGAAAAATCATTAAAATAAGGAAAAACAGATTTTTGAAGCAATATCCTGTATTTCATTACCCTTTCATTTATGCAACATGAGAACGGAAACCACAATGTAAATATAGTGCTCTGGGGAGGCCATATCACAGTTTCTAGGCACATTGAGACAGATCTGTTGGGAGCAGGGATGGCCAAGTTTATATTAAAACTTGCTATTAAATGATAGGTTCTCCATATCTATAAAGGATGTTCCTTATTGTCTTTGAAAATGGTAGCTTGTAAATTAGCAAAGATGATGACAAAAAAATAGTAAATGGTGAAGGGGGTATGGGATGAAAGGTACACAAATACAATGGAGTTTTGAACTGGTACAAAGAATCTAACAATTTAGAATTATGTAAAGAAACAAATAAACAAACAACTGACTAAAATGTTCATAACCTTTGACTCAGAAATCCCAATGCATGTACCCCAATTGAAAGAAAAATTCCAAATCTACCAGAATATTCATAGTAGCACTTTTCAAGGCAGCATAGAATTGTAAACAAAGCAGGTGCTCATTAATTGGAGAATGGCTAAGTAAACTGTAGTACATGAATAATATGCAACATTACTGTGCCACAAAAAATAGTAAATATAAAGAATTCATAGAAATAAGAGAAAATGTACAGGATCCAATGTAGATTGAAGTATGCAGAATCAGGAGAGCAACATATACTCTGTCTACAGCAATATAAATATAAAGAAGAACAACAAAACAAAGTTGAATACTGCATAATTAAAATGACCAGACTTGGTCCCAGAGAAGAGGAGAGAAAATGTACCTCTGTCCCTGCTTTGAAGAGGTGGGGGGATTCAAGTGTGAAGATTTGCATATGTTGTCAAACATGGTTGACATGAGAGTTTTTTTGCTAAATTGTTTGTTTTGTTTCTTTTTCTTTTTGTTATTTGTTATAAAGGCTAGTTAAGGGAGCAGGGGAAGAATATATTCACAAATAAAAGTAATATAAAAACAAAAGATATCAACAAAAATTTTAAATGGTGGCTCTGCAACATTTTCTGCTTAAAAAACTTTAAAAAAAGAACATACTTCTTCTAGATATGTCATCTTTGGAAGGAATGAGCACAGACAGATGGGTTATAAAGTCACTTCTGATAGTTAGCTTCATTAATGAACACATTTCTATTGTTTGCTATTTTTTTCTGATCCAAAAAAGCAAGAAGAAAAACGCAGAACTCCCTTACCTGTGTCTGCTTGGGACCAATGTCCATTTTCCCAAGTAAACTATTTAAAAAATCTATAACACTTGTCCAGGGGTAAATACTGTTAGAACCATCCAGCACTATGACAATGTCCAGTTGGGTACTGCATCCTGCAATACAAAGAGGCAAATTGGCAACCATGGACTCTGCAGTTACCCTCTTTTTGTAGACAATTGAAATGCCTTCTGAAAGGCTCATTAAAAAAATCAGTTCTTAATCATTATGAAATATCGGTAGCGATCAATAAAATTACTTTTGGTATCTCCCCTCAACCTCTCTTCATGTAGAACTGCTCTCATTGAAAAGTCTTCAATAAGTGTTTTAAATGACAGATGTGAGTTTCTTTTTACTTTGTGTCTTTGAATATGTGGCTTCTTTATCTAAAGAGATTTCTGTTGTCAGAATAAAAGTGACTTGACATTTTTCCAATGGGGTGCTTCATGCCTTTCTAAAAATTGTTTACACTAAGATCAATTCTCCAAATAGCACCAACGTTTGGTTTTATACCAGCAAAGCAAACATTGACCTAAATTGGAAATGCTGGTAGCTAAGATAAATGCTTCATGCTTTTGGCATGCCTCCGTGTATATATTTCCTCATTCATTGCTGACTACTTTTCAAACACACAAAAATATTCCAAGGGCATACATACCTTGAACAGATGGTGCAATGGAGTTCACAACCTGAAATTTGGAATCAACATCCGAACAGATGCCAGTTGTATAATGTGAATGTCCACATCTATAAGCATACAAAGGCCCACAAGCCTTGAAAAGAAAGAAAAAATTAAAAACCCTGAAGATTTACAATGATCACTTTCCTAAGATTGTTAAAAAATATTGCTCTTTCTTTTCTTACCAGAAACCCTCCTTTTGGGTTAGTGACTAAAGTAGATCCAAACGTCATGTTCTCCTTTACTTCCGTGACATTTGGAATTGACGTATAAACTAAAAATAGAAGAAAAATGTAAATTGGTAAAAACAGAGGGCAATGTCTGTAATTTGAAATACTCTAGTCCTTACATTGGGAGATGGGGGTGGGTACGGGTGGCAACCAAGTAATCTTCAAATTATTATTAGGAATAAAATGAAGCAGTTAAAGTTGAAAACTGGCTTAGGTCCCAGAATCTTAGTCTGGGTCACTGTCTCAAATAGTTTTACTGAACTGAAAAAAAAGTGCAGAAATAGCAAGGCAATGAGAGTGTGGGACTACTGCGTCTCACACAGTTTTGCTAATAGAAACAGATAAAATATTCAGCTTCATATGAAATTTTTGTGTATATATAAAGTAGCTTTGTATGTTTCACTACATGATCAGGAATGTGTCAAAAATTTCTAACAAGATAAGTACTAAAATTGGATGGGAAACCAGAATAGGAAACTTAAATGCAAATTCTTTATCTCTATGTCAATATCCTGGTAAATACAGTTGGGCTTACCAAGAAAAATGTGGGACAGGATGGAGTAGTCATGAAATTCTAGTGAAAAAATTGCGGTGAAGTATTTTGGTCTCGAGTTGGTTCCAGAATATCAGACCACTTAGGACCAGACTAATGACACGTCAGCCATCAGAGCAGAGACACAGCTTTCCCTGGGCATGAACTATACCAGTTCCCATCCTAGTGACACATGGGTGAATAGGATTAGGAAGCAGATGCTGATGTATGGAGCTGGGGCATCCTTGTTGCCAGCTATCAGCCTGACATTCTTTCGGTGGTCTGATATTCCAACAAGAGGCTGGAATTCCTGGATGGTTTGTTTCTTAACCTAGGAAACTTAGATGCTTTTCTAATCCAAAGGGTTAGGTTTCCCCTGAGATTGTACTAAAGAACCAGTCTGTTTTGGCCTTCAATTCATCCTAGAATGGCCCTGAACTCCCAAAGACCCTTTGGCTTGGGGATGACCCAGGGTCAGACAAGATCCCATAGGACCATGTCACACTGGAGACAGCTACTCTTGGCCCTTCCCACTGCTGGGGAAAAGTAGCATTTTTCATTGTGCTTATTGCGTCACTAAATAATTCCAATTAGATGTTCCATTCCCCTAGGGTTTCAGAGGAAATTCTATTTGGAGACTTCTTCAAACCTCAGTGAACCAAACAATTCTATTTCAGTATCTGTAGTGCATCTCCTTTTAGTAGCTGTCAGTGAACCTTACTCTTATGTTTAGTACATGTTATGATACTGCTTGAAATTTCTAAGAGCTACAAAGATGTATATATGTGTAAATGTGTATGCATATGTACGTATGTGTGTGTCAGTCAATAAGTATTTGTTAAGCACCTACTATGTGCCAGGCACTGTGCTAAGTGTTGAGGATACAAAGGCAAAAAGCCAATCCCTACTCTTAAGGGGCTCTCAGTCTAAAGGAGGAGACAACATGAAAACAACTATGCACAAATAAGATATGTTTAGGATAATATAGAAATAATCACCAGACAGAAGGCACTTGTAGTAAGAGGGAATCAGGAAAAGCTTCTAGCAGAAAGTGGGATTTTGTGGTTGTTGCTGTTGTTGGTAGCCTTAGCTGTGAAGGAAGCCGGGGAATCTACAAGGTGGAGATGAGGGCAGAGAGCATTCCAGGCATGGGGGCCAGCCAGTGAAAATATCCAGAATCTGGAGATGGAGTGCTTTGTTCAAGGAAGAGCCAGGAGGCCAGTGTCACTTGATTATAGAATACACAGGAGGGGAGGAGGAAGGAGAAGTAAGGTGCAAGAAGACTGGAAAGGTAGGGGAGGAGGGAGAATTACAAAGGGCTTTGAATGACAAACAGAGGATTGCATATTTGATTCTGGAGGTTTAATGTGTATATATGCACATAAATGTTTTTGTCATTGTTTGTTAATTAATATAAAATATGAAAAAATTCAAACTATGGGTAGATCATTTGTTGAACTGGTCCTCTTCCTTTCCTAAACGTAGGTTCCGCTAAACAATTTTTGCTTTGAGTGGGAGAATAGGAACTGGTTGAGGGAGGCTATTTCATGCTACTCCTGTGAAATTCCAAAAACCACTGGATGAAGAAGGAAGTTACAGCTGTCCCTATACTACTAGTACATTGTATTAAAAATCCCAGGTAGTCCCAAGTTGTTTAAATTCTACAGCACAAATACACGTATAAAAGCAATGGAGTTGGGATCCAGGACTTAAAAATGTCCTTCTACTCTCAGAATTTGATCTCTTCAGACTTAAAAATTACTCTCTTTGTTAGTGTTCTGAATTCATTTTCTGAGTGCCCCGAATGCATTGTAAGGAATAGAATTTGCTCTTTTACCTTACCTGGGAGATCCAATTTTACACATGGCAATGACTCTCCTCGCCCTACTGGACACTTATAAACATCACCAGTTCTGTTCTTGGGTTGGCCAACCAGTGGAGAACCAATAAGCACCCTGAAGATTAAATAAAATGAATCAGTATTTTAAGTAATAAAGAGTCCTTTATTTTAGTTAGTTCACTTCTAATCCTAAGAATATTAACAACAGCCAAATTGTTTCCCACAGACAAGTTCAGTCAATGGTCAGTGTTGTAAAGGCATCTAATTAAGGCAGAAAATATTCTCTCAAATGAAAAATGACTTAAAATACCTCCCACACAAAAAACTCACCACAAACTTGCACACACATCAAAAGATAAATGACAAAAAATGTAGAAAAACAAATAAAAATCATATTTTTGTCCTATGTTAAGAGTATACTTTTTATTTTCACTCCCAATCTTCAACCACATGGTGTTTTTAAATTCTCCAGAGTCTCAAGTACAACCAAATACTAAACAAGGAACTATAGGAAGCATGACAATGTACTTGGTGCTTGGGATTCATAGTATTTATGAGTAGGCTCTGCACCCATGGAATTGAAAATTTCATGGGTAAAGCAAGAGATAGAAATAGTGTGACTAGTATAAATGTATGATTGGTGATAGCTTACTTATCTTCATTTGAAAATTAGATGTTATATTCTTTGACAATTTATCTATTAGGTAATTTCTCTTTCTCTGACATATTTGTATCAACTTCTTGTGTATTTTGAATGTCAGGCCTTTACCAGAGAAATTTGCTTCAAAGGTTTTTCCCAGTTAACTGTCTCTTTTCTTATTCTAACTGAATTAATTTTACTGCTAGCAAAGCTTTTTTGTTGTTTTATGTTTTGTAACTGAACCTCTCCATTTATTTTTTTATGAATACTTCTGTCTTATTTGGATAAGAATTCTCCGCCTAGCCAGAGTTGTGAAAGGAATCCCTTTCCATTCACTTCTAATTTGCTAATGACATGACCTTTTCTCTTTAGGTCATGTATTCATTTCTAAATGACACTTTTTTAAAAAATGAAGTTAGGATGAATGGCTAGATTTAAGGATACTGGCGTATAGGGTGTGTGATATGTTGGCCTACATCTGATTTCTGACAGTCTACTTTCCAGTTTTCCCAGCAGTTTTGTTGAAGAAGTAGCCATCCTAACAGCTGACATTATACTGCAGTGTTTGGTTGCTTCCAGATCTTGTTTACCTAATTATTCAGTTGATCAGCTTTTCTCATTTTCAAACTGGCACCAAATAGTTTTAATGATCTCTGCATTATAGCATAATGTGAGCTCTTATACTATTAGGTTCTATTTATTCCTTCTTTTTTCTTTATTTCCCTTGATATTCTTGAACATTTTTACTTGCACATATGAATTTTGTTATTATTGTTTCTAGTCTTATAAATAACCCTTTGGTAGTTTAATTTGTAAGGCACTAAATCTGCAAATTAATTTAGGGAATATAGTCATTTTTATTTGTAAGGAAGAGGACTGTCTTTGTGTGTGGCTCATAGACATCTTTAGACTCATTTTCCCTCATCCTTCTTCAAAGGAGACTTTTCATTCAGGAGGTTGGAGTCAAAGGCTACTGTGCTCTCCTCAGAGAGATGGGATACTGTTATATGTATGTGTATATGTACATATGTATGTACATGTATATATATATGGACATGTGCATATATTGTATGTGTATATACACACACTCTTTTAATTCTGATCTTCTAGGGGATATGATCCAGTTCCATCTAAATTCTGATAACTTTGTCATTGTTGCAGGATAGCAGAACTGAAGGCTCTATATCCAAGGCTTGACTTCTTTTCTCACCTAATGCCAGTCCAGAATGAATACATATAGCAAATAACAAAGAAACTCATTTATCAAAATCATAGCAAAACAGAAATCAGAGAAGTTTTATATATATGTGTGTGTGTGTGTGTGTATATACATATATATTTATATATACATATATGTGTATATATACACACATATATATATGTATACATATATACACACATATATATATATATAAAACATGTATATGAGACAATAAAGAGTGAAGGAGTTCTCTCCCTGGGAGTGAGATAACTCAGTGATAATATAATATAAGATAATATATAGACTATAGAATATATAGAAAGGTTGATGCTGATTTAGGGGTTTATTTTATATCCTGCTATTCTATTGAAGTTAATGTTTCAATTAATTTATATTTGCACCTCCAGAGTTCTCTAAGTAAACTATCATATATTTGCGAATTATAATAATTTTGTTTCCTCTTTGCCTATGGTTATTCACTCTATTCCCTTAATTTGTATTAGCCTAATAGCTAGAATTTTTACACCTATATAAAATAATAATGGTAACAATGGACATCTTTGCTTTACCCTGCTTATATTTGAAGGGGCTCTAGTGTTTCTCCATTATAGTTAATTCAAGTCTTGATTTTAGGAAATTATTGTTTACCATATTAGGTTCATTATTCCTATGCTTTCTTATACATATTTTTAACATAAATGAGTGTCATATTTTGTGAAAAGCCTTTTCTGAATCTATTGATACAATCATATTCTCATTTTATTATTAATATCATCTATCATGTTATTGTTTTTATCACGTAGAACTAACCTTGCATTCTTGGTGCAAATTCAGCTTAGTCATAATGAATACTCTTTTAAATGTGTTAAACATTGCCTTTTTGCTAATATTTTATTTAATATTTTTGCTTTGGCATTCATTAGACCTACAGTTTACTTTATCTCTTCCTAAAATGGGCATCAGTATTATACTTGTCTCACGAAAGGCATTTGGTAGGATGCCTTTTTTCATTATTTTTATTGTTATAGTCTCATACTTATCTTTTAATCTTTTTTTCTTTCTTCTAATTTAATGTTTGCCTTAACCTTTTCACCAATTGGTTGATCCAGCTGTACATGGAGAGCCAATTCTGAAATGACTTCTTTATTATTCCTTGTCATTAAAATAAAAGTTCTCTTTTTAATGTTTGAGGATCACCATTCCAGCACTATTTGACTTTTTCTGAAGAATATATTTGTACAGGAACAAGTTTTCTGGAAATCTTTGATCTACTTCATTTGTTGATCCTAAGCCAAATTTCATATGTCATTTTCACTGTTCTCCCATTCCCACTTTCACATTGAAGTCACCAAGGATTTATGTATATATGGACATGTTTTGCAGTATCTTGCCAAATCTTTCATAGAATTTCTCTGCTTAATCTACTGTAATAGATTATTCAAAGTAAGACTGCAAGTACCTTCATGCTACTCTATTTTTTTGTCTTCCTCCTTCCTTCCTCCTTAGCTCACTAAGTATTCCTTAAAATGATTTTTCTTATTGATTTGGGGATCATGATGAACACAATTCCACCAACTGAATGAAAAAATATTAAGCATTTAGCATCTATTACGTACTAAATTATGATCAGCACTTGAGATATAAAGAAAAAGTAGGGCTAGCCCCTCCCCTGAAGGAGCTTACATTCTTTGATAGGAAGCCTTTCCCAATCCCTCTTAATTCTAGTGCCTTCCCTCTTTTATCTCCAGCTATTATCTTCAATCATCTCCAGTTTATCCAGTATATCACTTGTTTGTACATATTTCTTAACAAATTGTCTCCCCCTCCTAAGCTCCTCAAGGGCAGGGACTCTCATTTGTTTTTCTTTGTGTCCTCAGCACTTGGCACAGTGCCTGGTACATAGTAAGTGCTTAACAAATGTTTATTGATTGATTGATATTGACTAACTGACATTCTAATGGGAGAAACAACACATAAAGAATGGTGGCCACAGTGGGTTATTTTGGCTTGAATTGAATGTATCTATAGGGGAATAGATTGACACAGCTTTTCTGGTAGTAATTCTAGTTTTGATTTCATTATAGTTCCAGAACTGGAAAGTGGGAGGAAGAGAGAGTAGGGTGAATGGTATGAGAAGATGAGTCAGGAATTAGAGTGAATCATTACTAGAGCCAGCCTAACTATGAAGCCATGTGAAACACTGACAAATTAGGACACTAATTCTTTTATTCCTCTCTCTGAGGTGAACCTATAAAGCATTCTTCCATTTAGATGTTCTTTCTTTGTCTTCTGTTTTCATCTTTAGGAAAAAACAAAAATCAATGTAGATGTGTTTCAATTCCTCAATAAACTTAGACAGATTTAGAGCTGGAAGAGATTTTAGAGATCATTGTGTCTAATCCTGCATTTTTATGGATGAGGAAATACAGACATACCATGTGAGCTGGAATTTGAACTCAGTGTATCAACTTTTTGTTTGTTTGTTTGTTTGTTTGTTTTGAGACAATCAGGGTTAAAGTGATTTAAATAGGGTGGCACAGCTAGTGTCTGAGGGCAAATTTGAACTCCAGTCCTGACTTCAGGGCCAGTGCTCTTTCTACTGCGCCATCTAGCTGCCCCTCGGTGTATCAGCTTTGTGATGGGCAACAATCTAACCCTAATAGTACTAAAAATTAAATGAATTATTTCTAAATAATCTTAAAACTGAAGGATTCATCCTGCCCTTTCCCACCATTCTGTTACCTTCACTATGGAAGCAGAAAGGCCCCACACATAACAGAGTCATTATGTGTCTACATAATTGGTTATTGCAGGCAAAGAAATTCTCTGGTGGCCAACATCTTGTGGGGAGCCTCTCTGTACTTAGCTCTCGTACAATAGGCCTATACTCTGTCACCAGTCTGTAACCAAAGTCTTTCTAACATCATAGAACCTGTCAGAATTTAAGCCTTCCTGCTATAGCTTTTGAGAATTTAAAGTCAGCATACAACCGAAGTAAGACTTTTGTGGTGGAAAATCTCTAGCTTGGTTAAAAAAAAAATCCTGCATAAATACAGGATGTGAGAGAGCAGCTTTAATAGCAGTTCAAATGCAAAAGTTTTGGGATTTTTATTTTACCACAAGTTCAATATGGGTAAATAGTGCGGTATGGCTACAAAAAATGGTAGTGCCACCCTAGAGAGCACCAGTAGAATGATAGTGTATGTATGCATGCATGCATGTGTGTGTTTATATGTACATTTACATACATACCTATATACATACATACATATAC